ACTTTTTACTTTCCCTGATATCTTTCCCTTTGTCTTCCTTTTCTGATTTGTCTTTTTCATATTTCTCTTTCTCTGGTTTGGTCACACTATCATAGGAAGGTGGGGAAGTGGTGGACGGTGTCACGTCAGTTTTCTCCGGGGTTGAGTTCTCGTTCAGTTTATCCACGAGGATGTCTTCTTTGATAGGTGTCCCTTCGCCTTCTTTGCCTTTGTCTTTCTTATAAATAGACGAGACCTTTTTAACCTTCTGCTTCAGGAGGTAGCGTCGGTACGCTCTCTGGATGACGATAGCAGACACCTCCTCTTGCTTGCGTTTCAGAGTGGTTGTGATGGGCTCGTAAGAGACCTTGGAGGGGTTCGAGGCCATGAATCGCTCTTCCATCTGTATTCGAAGGGCGTCCATCTCTCCACTCTCCCCCAAAACACGCTTTGTAAAAGCAAACAAGATGTCGAGGCAGTGGATCCGGTCTCCACTCACCATGGGCAGGTCCATGGCAATGAGCTGGACTTTGTTGGGTTTTGCTATGAGAAGGGGAGGATCCAGGGCAGCTGCAAAATCAGACAGCTTGGCGAATTCTATGAACTGGGTTGCATCCGGATCGAACTTCTCCCAAACTTCATAGAACATCTCAAAGTCATCCTCGCTCAGGGGCTCTGCGCTTTCTTCCGTGGCCACGCTGAAGTTCTCCAGGATGACAGCGATGTACATGTTCACCACCACCAGGAAGGAGATGATGATGTAGCTGACAAAAAAGAAAATCCCAACGGATGGGTTCCCGCAGTCTCCCTTCACTGAGCTTCCTGGGTTATTTTTTTCAGGGTCACAGTCTGGGGGTCCACTGTTAAGAATCGGGGCTAGCAACCCATCCCAGCCCGCAGACGTGGTAATTTGGAACAGGCAAATCATGCTGTTGCCAAACGTCTCAAAGTTGAACATGTCATCGATTCCAACTTCCCTTTTCACGTAGGCGAAGTTGGACATCCCGAAGATGGCGTAGATGAACATGACAAGGAAGAGCAGGAGGCCGATGTTGAACAAGGCAGGAAGGGACATCATCAGAGCGAAGAGCAGCGTGCGGATCCCCTTGGCCCCTTTGATGAGACGAAGGATTCGGCCAATCCGGGCAAGGCGGATCACTCGGAACAGGGTGGGGGACACGAAGTATTTTTCTATCAACTCAGCTAGAAACATTCCTGTGGGAAACCAAAAAAGCAAATAAAATAGTGTTAATAATACCAATGAACAAATATTTGCATTATCAGTATTATCTGGTTTTACAAAATAGGGACATTAGAATCACACATACATATTTACCTGATGTACTCATGCAAATAATCTGTGATTCTTGTTCATTAAAATAAAGTTGCTGTGGTTGGTGTTGAATCATTAAGACAGTTATGCAAATGTAGGTCACTTTACCTTATTCAAATACCTTCTATCAAGAAGTGATTCATTCATTAAGGGTTTAAAGGTGTCGCAAAGACTACAGTGGCCAAGTTCAGAAATGCATTGA